CGCTGCCCAGGCAGGATCCTAAGCCCTGTGCGGGTCTGTGAGTGCCTCCAGCATCGCCCCTCGCTCTGCCGCACGGACCCTGCGGGGAAGGACCAGCCTTCACCCCTCGGAGGGCTCTCGGCTCCGGGTGGGTGCTCAGCCYCTTTCGGCTTTGTTTCCCCTCTTGCCGGTGGCAGAGCTGGGGCTGGCATTGGTTACGTGCCCGAAGCCGCCTCGGCCATGTGCTGATGCAGACCCAACGTCACCGGGAGAGCTGCAGTGAGGGCTCAGGGAGAATTTTAACATTCCTTTCTGCCACGGTCTCAAGGCTCTCCCTTTACCCCTCCAAGCCCAGAGCAGCAGCTGCTGTGGGCACAGTGGAGGACGATGCTGGGGCAGTCTGGACTCTGGAGAGATGAGGGAACGTGTCCCAGCTGTCCAGGACGGCAGCCCCTATTTCACAGCGCCTTGCCGGGATCTGCTTGTTTTGACAGGCGCGGCTGAAGCCGTAGCTTATTTCTCACTTATTCATGATCCTTATCAGGAGGCTGGGCACACGCCGTGCTCGGCAGGGCTCGGGGTCTGCCTGGAGCGGGATCTCAGCACCAGCCCTGCCAGGGAGCCTTGGAGGCASTCGCTGAAGCCAGCACCAAACTGTTTGCCTGTTCCTGCTTTCAGACCGATTACCTGGTGCTGGCAAACTTTGCAGGGTTAGCCAAATCCTTTGAGCTGCGTGTAAACTGATCTGTAAGACCATCCATGTTGAAAGGCATTGGGTAACAGTCCAATGAGCTCACCCCTGGCCCCCAAAGTCTAAATCCCAGGCGATTTGTGTGTAGACAGGGTCTCATGTGGCTTTTTATAGTGTTTGCTTTCTAATACGTTGTGAGAATTACCATTTGGGGAGGATTTGTGGGATCCTATTGTATTCATGGAGCTGTTGAACAGCATCTGCGCTGGGCTGAGGATCTGCAGCTCTGTGCTGGAGAGGCTCTGGTGCAGCTGCACCGTGCTGGCTGCGGCTCCTGCTGGTGAGGGGRCCTGGGGATCTGCGCTGGGGTCCCCAAGGCAGCTGGGGGCGGGGGCAGGATGTGCCAGGGGCACCACAGTGTCACTCTGAGCCTCGCTGACCTCTTTCTGCAGTGCGCTCAGTGCTGTGGTTTTGTTTCCGACCCCGATGCGAGCGCGGAGGGGCCCGAGCAGAGGCTGCGGGGGTGAGCTGGGGCCAGGGGAAGCTGTGGGGAGGGGGCACCTCWCTGTTCCATGGGCTGTTTGGCTGCTGCTGTGACAGTTTCCAGAGCAGAGCCCCAGCAGGTGACAGAGCCCGAAGGCACCGGTGCCAATGTCTCCCTTTGCGCAGGGAGCTCTGAGCCAGCGTGTGCCGAGCCTGTTTGCAGTGCACGAGCAGCCCATGCATATGGCAGGGCTGTTTGTTTACACACACACATGTCTATAGAAGTGTAAACATATATGTTTATAGTCTTGGAGCCTTCTGGGTGCTGTTCCTGTCTCCATTAGTATGGGAAGCACATGCAGGAAAGGAGAGCAGAGGGTCGGGCTGGGCTCGGCAAGCACGGGGGCCACTGGCCTGGGTGACAGACAGTGCCCAGGGGACACTCCTCTGCCCTGGCCCGGTGTGCTAACACAGCTCCTCGGCCTCGTGGCAGCATCTCCTGTGCCCTGTCATACCCAGGAGTGCTCAACTGTGACCTTTTGGTGGCCGAGTGGCTGCAAGTCTTGGCACTGCCTCTGATCAGGGTTTTCGGGTCCCTGAATGCTCTGGCTGCTGCATGATCCATTTTTTTTCTCCCTTACCGAGCTTATGATTTTGACTAATTGAGTGTARATTGAGTCGTCGAGTCTTTAATTTTTTTTTATAAAAGATTTCCTTCTGGGTTCAGCAAAGTTCAGACTTAATCTAATGTTAGTATCGATCGTCACTTCTAATTGCAGACAAAAAAGCCAGAGTTCAGTGGCCCTTTTGGGGTTGTTTTGTGAAGGAACATCTCCAGGCTGCAAGGCAAGAGCTGTGCCAAGCTGCCAACTGAGCCTGGCATAATTCCTCATCAGGAAGTTAAATACCTTAAAACTTAAAAAAAAWTAAACTGTGTCTTTATAAAGTGATAGCGAGTGGGAAGGATTCTAGTGGGGATGTGATCCCRTTCGGTTCATTTGGGGCACGGCTGAGGATCCCAAGCCAGTGCTGCCCAGGAATTCACCACCGTGCTGATGTGGCTGCTGGCAGCGCTCACACCCGTGCCAGCACAAGATGGAGATGCTGGGCTGGGAGCAAAGTGGTGATGGTCACGAGGAGACCAGCGGGGTGAATGCTGCTCGTGGGGTGGTTTTGTGGGGAAGATGTTTGTCCTCACTGTCTTACAGGGGCATAGCTTGGGGAAAGCTCCGTGCCAACTGTCGGGTTTGTTCTGCATTTTGAGGTTCCGTGGCTGAGCTGGCAGCTAAAGATGTGTGTGTGGAGGATTTAAGGAAGGGGTAAGGAAGGAGGATCACTCTGCCCCCATGGACAAACTCCACATTTGTGTCCTCTTTTCCCATGGAAGGACAGCAAAGCTGCAGCAGTGTTCGGGGCCAGGCACTGATTTGAAATTCTCCTTCTTGGGAAAACTGCAGCTTCCCTTGAGGATCCAGCCTTTGGCTCTTCTCTGGCAGGCTCAGCTCCTGTGCCTGCACCTGGATTAGCCGAGCGTTGTGCTGTTAATGCCATTAGGCACCTTGGCACTGCTCGGCGTGTCACAGTGAGAAACAGATGCAGCGTACCATTAAAGCAATAAACGTGATAAATCGGATCCCAAGTGCTTTGTGAGATGTTATTAGTGTTAATTTTGGTGGCCGAATACACTAGTTGTTTTTTATTTTATTTTACGCATTCGCCAATTCATGTTCCGCTGCAATTTAAACCTTAAAATAAGGTGGAAAAACGGCAAGCAGGAGGGGAGGGAAGGCAAAGCCGGGGCAGCAGCCCCCCAAACTCTGCCCGTGATTACTTCCAGAGCCCGAGGATGACCTGGCAGCTCTCGTTTCTCGCTGCTGGCCCTTATTAGCAGCACCTGGCATCAGAAGGGGCTAATGGGAACCAGCGTTCCCGGGCTGCAGCGCGGGGCAGCCGGGCGAGGAAGCTCTGATTAGCTTTATGGGCAGGGGGACGTGCCCCGCTCAGGAAATGAATGTTGCAGCTAAGGTCCACGGCGCTGACCCCGAGCGTGTAACCTGTGAGCGCTGGCCCAGACCCCGCGCAGGATGCTTGGGATTT